AGCATCTCTTATGCCGACTCAGTTTAACGTACAAACACCTTCAATGAGCATATACTCTGTATCTATGCCTTTGAAGAGTAATTGCGGTAACACGACCCAAGGTATAAGTACCGTGACGGCCACGTCAACGGCAACGATTACGGTGACGGCGTCGAAACCGACGTCTGTATGTTCGGTACCACCATGTCCAGACGCAATCCCTATATCCTTTATGAAGCAAGCGTCTATGCGCAAGCAGGAGGCGACTGCCAAGGGTACCAATTTAAATGAGATTTGTGCGAAAATTGGTTCCATCGGTACAATCGGTTCTAAGATCAACGATATCTGTGCGAAAATAGGAGAAAACTCGAAGGAGAAGAACAGAGTGGAACAGGCGCGCAATAAATCGGACGTACCGGATCTGCTTAAAATCGGCACGAAGAAGAGTCCCTCGTCGTCGCTATCCAATTCGGACACGACGATTAAACATATACCGAACATACCTAATGTACCAGTATACAATCCGAGTAGCAACGCGACAACGATGGAGAATAAGAATGCCAAGCCCGTGTCCGCGGGCGCTCTGGCGGTATCATTGGCGGTATCATCGACAGTAACATCATTGGCACCGACATCATCACCCCAGATGACCCAGAGAATGTCCTCTCTCAAGAAGCAGAGCCAACCGATCGGATATAAGACGTTACGCGACCCGCCCAAGTCCTGGAATCCAACGTTGTCAAAAAATAATTACGTGGCCGTGAAAAACCAAGCGAAGGAGATGCAGAATCAAACCCAGACCACGTCCGCGTCCGAGGGCACGAGTAAGCAGATCCCGTCTAAACCGGCCAAAATCTTCAAGATGAGGAACGTGCCACGATATCTGGGTAATCCGGCATCGGGCGTGAAGCCCATGTACGGAGTCACGAACGACGCGAAGGAGAAGGAGCAATCGGCAGTTGCTAATACGAAGAACGCCACCCTCAATATGATGAAGATCGATCCCAAGACCTTGTCGCCTATCGTTTCCACGATCAATTCGCCGATCGTTTCGCCGCCGCCTTATTCGCCGAATGCTCGAAGTTATCAAAATACACCGTATCCGCGGGACATATGTCGAAGCACCGGTTCCCCGATATCGCCGAGAAACTCGCCGGTGAATATGCTGTCGACAAATCCTTTCATACCGTCTCCTACGCCGAACACAAATCCACGGATCATATTTTCTCATTTCCCACCTCCGTTTCCAGACGCCAGCCGATTCCCGAATCCCTTGATACGCTCGCCCATCGGTATTCCGCCTCCCAGTGCCTTCCACAGCAGTCTACCGCCTTCGATCAATAAGCTGTATCAACGATCAGCCAGCTACATACCGCAGACCACCAGTAGTTACTCACCGGTATCCAGTCAACCGCCGGCGGTACAACGAATACCGCCCAGCACGCATTCGTCTTCGCCGAAGTCGCCCAAGGCCTCGTCGCCGAGTTCGATTTCGTGCACATCGTTCAATCTGGGAAAAGTGGAATCGCAGTCGCCGATCACGTCAACGGTGGCAGATAATGTCGCGTTACTTCTTTCCAAGAACGTGCCGGTGCCGATACCGGTACCATCATTGCAACGAGAGCTCAACGCGTTTAATCTATCCAAGACCGGTGGCAGTTTAGGTCCAACCTCCAACGTCGTCGTTGTCAAGACATCGTCCGCGACGGATACAAGCAACGCCGATACAATCGAGACGCAGACCGCCAAGCAAAATTCTTCCGCGGTGTCGCACAATTCCGCATCGAGTGCGGAGATACCCGGAAATTCGAACTCGCCGAGCAGCACCGGCGAACGAAAGCACTGTAAAAACGCGGATCCGGCGCAAAAGACAACGCAGGAGATGGCGCGCGGTCCTAAAGAGGAAAGTTCTAAGGCGAAGCCTACGGAGGCGAGATGTAGCGCCGAGATCGTTGACAACGCCATGGGCCCGTCTCCTGACAAGAAGGAGAAGAATCAGGCGGCTAGAGTCAACGGTGACGTTACAACGGATCAATTTGCAAGTAAGAATCCCAAGGAAGCTAATAGCGACGAAGTGACGACACCAATGACGGAGACGACCGAACGAGATTGCCAAGTCGAACGATCCTCGTCCAGAGAACGGAATAGCATTCCGAATAGTAACGCTCAAGATAATAATATCAGTGACTCCTCGTCGGCGAACGAGTCTAAGAACGACAAGAGCGGCGAGCAGATACAGGGTAAAAAGTCCGAAGTGCAAAGAAATAAAGCGGAAACGTGAGATCACCGCAAAACGTGAGGATTAAACTGATTAAACTAATCATACGAATCGCGCGTCGATGACAGAGCTGCATTTAATCCGGCATACAATCTGGCTTTAAATATAATAATTTAATCCTGTATAGGCTTATATACACGGCCCATATTATATTTACTGCCAGTAATTCTAACGTCGTACGATCGAGTATATCCCGTATATACTTGTACGTTTAAAGATCCTTTTGCGCTCCCCTTGTGTCATCCGCGCATAGCGGAAAAAAATCACAGAGATATGCTGGTTAACAATGCTATAGGCGATGAATTTTTACAGTATGCGTATCGTGTAAGGAGTGAGAAGAGCGATCATTGTTGAAAATGTTTCATGGCGTGTTAGGAATCTGTACATTTCTGTAAATAGCAATCGCGAAAGATCTAATTATTTTCTATTATAAATGAGTTATTATATATATCATTACGTTGAGTACGTTATTTTATAAGCATATGTTAATTGCGAGGCCGTCTGAATTTCTATGCGCGTATCTAATACTGATATTAACCGTTAACGAGTCACTCCCCCCCTCCTCCCTTTCCCCTGTTGTTATACATACATATGTATGGAAATGTATACGACGTGTTCCACTTTTATCATATATCTCTTCAATTATGATTCCTCTGGAGATTTCTCTGTTTAGCAAAAATTTGATGACTATTACAATTTCTAATAATCTGTAATATTTGAGCCTCTCAAAAACAAAACATTAATTCCACCTTTTATAAATTTAATTTTAATATCAGAACAATAATCGTATTTTGGTACTAAAATTAAGAAATTTACGAAAAATGGAATTGATAATGAATAACATACATGACAATAGTAAAAAACAAAGTAATACGTTTCAAGTGGAACAGTGTCAGATATTTATCTTGTTTCGTTATACATTATATCATGCGTTGCAATATTTTGGATCATACATTTTTCGCGGATATCGATACAAATTGCGGAAACAGTGACCTTGAAAAAAAAAAAAGATTTGCCCTATTAAAGTTATATATTTAAATCAACTACATGATTTGTGTCTCAGTGCGCACATGCTTGCTGTTGATTTGTTAATGTCATAGTGTATAATGTCGCGTTGTCACATCTTAATAGCATATAATATCCGTTCTTGCATATTGGATGCAAGAAATTTTTAAATGGGGATTCAAGTTATTCGTTAGCATTAAGTAACTAAAAGTATCACAGTCACTTTTTTGTGTATAACATAATTATGAAAAGACACGATGATTCGTGGTAGAAGAGGATATCCACGATATAATGAGCACATACATATGTTTATGAAAAAAAAAAGTTAGGTATAGGTAGGTATAGGTGAACTAATTAAATTAATATCACGTTACCTAAACCTAAACTATACATTTTTATAACATGTAAGATTGATATGAAATTTATATAGTTTGCAGCATTGAATATTTTTAAATAACCCTTATTAAAGAGAATTTTATTCGCGAATTATATGGAGTATTTCTGAAAAAAAAATTCTTTATTTTACAAATTCTATTATTTTTACTTTTAATTATTTTTTTTTAATGGTACTTTTCCATAAAATACATTCAACATTTGACATTACTCACATTATAGTATATGAAAATAAAATCAAGATTGAATATTAATTTGTATATTAATTATAGTTCTAAAAGACAACTAACGATTTAAAAAGATATTGCCCTTTTTATCAGACAAGTATAAGTGTATAGTACGAATTTATATACATATATATATATAAACTTTCATAAAAGTGCGAATATTATCGATTATTGTATTCGTAATCATGAGCATTACTTTATTTTATATGATTAAATTCGAGTTTTTTAATTCTTGGACAAATCTAACAAAAACAAGGTATCAAAAGAAAAATTATTTTGTGGGTGATTTTGAAAATATTCGAAGACTGCTGATGGTAGTGAAATGTCCGAGGCCTTATCGTATCATATATATCGAGTAATTAATATGGAACAATAAAAATTATAAAATACATATATATGCTAATTATGTCAGAAGGAGAAAAAAAAGAATATTAGTTAACGATTAAATACTGTGATCGTTACGTTACTTCGTCTTATATAGAAAACATATTTTAATGAAGCACAATTATGCTCTCATAAATTTATTGATCGTAAATTGTAATATTTTTCTCTATGCCGTTTTCTCTCTCTTTCCACTCCATTTCAATATTGCGCTCTGCTTTTCAAGTTTTATTTTTCTGAATTTTCTACCTAATCCATATATCTTCATTTCTAATAATATATATGTGCGTTTCATCGTCCGTTTACACGAATATTGATAAAAAAGTAAAAGAGCATAAATTGAGAAAAGTATAAACAAAAGAAAAACTTTGCTAAAAAACTTTAATGTTTGGAGAATTGTCAAAGTTTCTCATGATAGAAGATATCCTAAGTCTTATTTGTACATAGTGTATTATAGTTATATAAAAAATATTGCATAATAATAGAGAAAAAAGAATTATTAATATAATTCTATATTTAATATTAGTAAGGATATAATCATATAGTATTTTTTTGTCTAACAAAAATAGAAATTTTTAAATATATTGGGCTGCAGGATTACTGTATTTTTAATCATTTTTTATGTATGTGTATATGTGTGCACACGCACATATATACGTATAAATGTATAAAAGTAATACAATAGTAATTCTATATACATGGATTAGGAAATATTTTTTTCATTAATAATGCAAAAATATAATTGACTGCACCCCTACATAAGAACTGTTTATTATTCAATATGAAACATCCTTCACGTATGTACACATTGCTCTATCTGAGCAATGGGAGAATGTATTTCCAAATTGTAAATCAACAGACGTTTATATACCAGAGATTTTTTCAATGTGCCTTACAGCATCCTTCAACTTGTACACTAACTCTTGTAGCTGTTGTACGGTGCATGTAAATGTTACATATTTCATTTCATTATACTTTCTTGTACTCATTCGAATATTATAAGTTGGCATGTCAGTAGAACAACAAGTGCTAATCTGTATCCAAGAACACACACAGAATACACTTTATTTAATGTAACTTATGCAGAAAACATATATATTGTTGGAACTGTGCTATGTAAAGTAATACATTTGGCAAAGTTATTAAAGAACTTACCTTAACGCAATGATGTAAACGCCAATCCACATCCACTATATGTGGTATGCTGTCTCCTGTCAACTCCAACTGCGTTTGAATATCTTGTTTATTGTTTATATAAGTACTACACAACTTTTCAATTCTTTGTCCATTAATATGTTCGTTATGTAGAAAGATTTTTAAGCTTTCTTCATCATAATCGTGTCTAGCAGCCTCTATAAAAAGGCAAGATATACTGGCAACAGCAGCCTTCACCAGATCTGATTTGGATGGATATATACTAGCGATGCCTAGGATAAAAGGTATCTATAACTGTGCGAACATTGTATCTTGAATATTTTTACATTCTTGAGACAAATCGAGTTAAATTTATATTTACTTTTTCCATCGCTAATATTCTTACAGATGTAAGATATTATAACATCTAATAATTGTAGAAATGTTTCTTCGGATAAAATGTTGCTATTTTGAATGTTTGCTAGGCCATCGATTACTTCCTTAGCCAATTCCATTTCAGCATAATGTAGCATCAATTACATTCGAGATAAGTAAAAATATCTGTATTGCGAATAACTATCACACTAGCATCATCAACAGAAAACAATGAACCAATTTATGCACTTGTGCTTTAGTAATAACTTGGATCAAGTTTTTGCGAAATCACCTTGATCTTGTGAGACTATCGCCGGATTAGTGATAAGTTGTTTCGTTCTGATTTTTGCCTAAAACAGACAAAAGTAGAAATAAGAATTTTCTTTCTTTTAAAGAATCTTCTATCTTTCAATTTCACAAATAAAAATTATGTGTACACGTTAACTAAGGTTATAAGGTACGTCAATTAATCCATTATAAGAATATATATAGTATGCCATTTTACAAACCATGTCTCATATTTGTCTGAAATGTAAAAGATTTACCAAATTTCTTTGCATGTATCGATGAATTACGCAGCAATAGTAACTGTCTGCTAATTGTCAAAATCACATATGTGTATATGTATATGTATAGTTCCCGACATAGGACGAGGTAATGGCTTCTGCACACTGCACACAGAACGCGGAAACGCTTGCCTCGCGACAAAAAGCGACACGGTAGCCAATCATATACGATTTTTCCATAGGAGTGAAAGATTGATTGGTTACCGTATCGCCTTTTCCCGCGCGCCAAGCGTTGCCGCGTCCTGTGTGCAGGAGCCATAACGCTTGTTGAAACAGAAAAAAACACATAGGATGTGTTTAAAGAAAGAGAAGAACAGTGGGATGTAACGTTACAAGTTGCACAGCAGCTCCGAAATTATAATAAACTCATTTACGACCTTAAACATAAAAACCCTCAAAGTATAAGAAAGACGATTTTGTACTCATCAGAGATTCGCAAAGTAAACCAGGTGAAAACCGAAGATTAAAGCCAAACTATAATATAATTGCTGAAGCACTAAATAAAAATCGATATTTTCAAGATAATCCAGGTTTTAATATAACGACAAATCCGTATAATACGATCCTGTCATTAGAAAAAATCAAACTGTGGGTTAAAGCCCAAACCTTTAAGTTAAAATTTAGAATAAGTTTTAATATACATTGTACTTTTGCATTCTGTAGATGTAAATCTCTCAATGCAAACTAAATTTACGATATCATATATAAAAAAAAAAAAAAATTCCCTTATAAAAGAACATTTGTTTTGTATTAATTACTCGACACACTGTAAGCATGTTGTTAATCATTTGGGACAAATGATACAGGATGGTCAAAACAGTAAGAAAAATGTATACATCATATATATAAACTAACAGTGTTAGTCAAGTAAAGGCTCAATGACAAAGATATATACATCTTTCTCATATTGACAAACAAGATGAAGTTTGATATTATGACTCTTTATATATGCAATATATAAATAAATCTAGTTTACAGCTCATTTTAGCATACAAATGTAAGATTAAGATCAATATTATTACTATGAATACATCATGTACTTATTTTTTATGATTTCATTACATAAATTCATCTGTTGTACCAAATTTGTACATACAAAATATAAGACAAAAAATTAGATAACAAGAATCTTTTGTAAAAAATATCAACGACATCGAGGTATTCATAGTGATTCAATTGTAATAGAATATAGATAATATATTTAGTTTCATTTAGGTCTTGGTTTATTTTGTGATTTATTCCCAATTTGTGTGCCACCCCCACGGCTTAATGGTGCTGGACCTCTTCCTCCTCTGCCAAAGGTACCTGTAAAATATAATATGCAACAATGATATAGAAATGTTTAGATTGCATATTGTCCTTTTTAGAAGATATATATATAATATATATATATATATAAATTCATAAATTTATAAAATTGACTGCAACATATATATTACCTCTACCACTGCCACGTCCTCTTTGAGTCTGGCCCCGACCTTTCATTTCACCACGTCCCCTCGATTTCATTTGTATATCTTCCTTTACCATATCAATTACTTCATCAGGAATTCTCAAATACTTTATCGTGCTGCCTCTTATATAGCATTCGGGCATCCTCCAAAACTTGTCACCATCCTAATACAATGATCAAATATTAATATAGTGAAATATACAAATGAAATTCTAAGACTTTTGAGTTACAACCAATTTGACGCATTTCTAAATTACTTATAACACATTTTACTTCTTTCAGTTATTTAACATCTCATCTCTCAGTATATATAAATTACTACATTATAAAAACTACATATATTATAAAACTACAGATGTATGTAAAATGTTTGTACCCTTGATGTACATATAACTTCTCTGAGATTTATGTTCATCCAATTGTCGCAACTAACTAAATGACCATTGTATGTTTCTCCATTTTTCAGCTCTACCAGCTGCAACAAAAAATTTAATTTGATTGTGGTATATATTAAGATTTAAATAAATATATAGTTTTTTCGAGAGATGTGTGAAAATCCAGAATATTTACCATGGGATGATTTTGCGCCGTCTTCAACAAAGTCAAAGGTAACTGAAAAAAATAAAACATACATATTACGAAGATCAAAATATTATTCTTTTTAGTTTGCATGAAAATAATAAACATACCATTGTATTTGTGAAAACGATATATAATTAAATGCACTCTTGTATACAGATAAACACTTTGATAAAGGTTATGCATCAATTTGAAAATAGCACTAAACTAGAGGCCTAGGGACCTAGAATATCAGAGAGGCGCGATCTTGTTCCGACTTCCTGATTGGTTGATTATATTATAGCCGCCATGTCGGGCTCACAACGGTTCACGCATGGACTTAGGAATTAGGAGTTCAGAGATTTCATTTTATCTTCTTTTTCTATTCACATTGGAAGGAAAATGATAAACTCTGAACTAATGCAGCCAGTTCAGTTGTAAAGAACAGACCCAAGATATATATTCGGGCATCGAAGAGAGAAAAAACAGCAAAACGAACAGTTCGATTGGACACAGAATTCTGATTGGTCAATCGTGTTAATTACTCTAAACACCGATTGCTATACGCGTTTAAACGTTTAAACGCTATGTCACTGTCAGTTGAGAAACTTTACAGTTAGTCGGTTGCATGTACTAAGTAGAAAATTTTGCAAATTGTATAGTACCTTTTATTACAAGATTTTGATTCTCAGCGAATGAATTAGAAAAGAAGAAAAGATTGATATTTTCCTTTAATAAGTTATAAAAATATAGTAACACTCAGTAAAAATATTTATAAACACCATTTATTTAAATAAATGATATAAATTACAAGATTATACTCTTCTCTATATAAAATATATGCGCCGCCAGACTTATCATTTTGTTTAAGGTCCGCGTTTTAAATAAAATTTATAATTATTTTAAAATTTTTATATTTTTCGATAATAAAATATGTATATTCTGTTAACTTATTTATTACAACTTAAGAATGATTTCATAAAATTCTGTATTCAAAATATTCATAATATGATAGTCTCGATATAATATATTAGTTTCAGTATCTCTTGAGCAAGGCATTTGCGAACATATCTCTCTAAACGAATTTTCTTACTTGTTTTGAGAGCCTATAAATTTCTATTTTTCAAGTTGGGATATATGTAACGTTTAAACACCTTTATTCTGTGCGTGTATACATATATATATATGTGTATGTATTTTGTGTATATGTGTATTTTATATAATATATAATTTGCTTGTCAAAAGTTTGAGAATCATTAGATAGTTAAAAGATAAATATTTATT